GCCCGGCGCTACGCCGCGCGGGGCCCGCCCGTCTCCGTCGCCGCCGCCAGCGGGGCGATGTTCTGGGGCGAGCACGCGCTCTACCTCTGCGCCCTGCTCCCCATCTCGCTCACGGGGGACTGGGTCGGGGGGAAGGTCGGGGAGGCCCTTGAGCGCCTCTTTCCCTCCTCCGACGAGGACCTGAGGCAAAACGCGCGGGAGCGGCAGGCCGAGGCGGACTACGCCGCCGACCTCCAATCCTACCTCCGCCGCATGGCCGAGGAGGCGGTCGGGGCGGAGGCCCCGCCGGCGGGAAAGCCGCACAACCATCGCCCCCAGGCAAACCCCCCGCCGCCAGAGGAGGGGGAACCAACGCGACCCCCCTTCGAGGGGTCTGAGCGCCGTGTTCACAACGGGCGGTCGGGCTCGCAGGATTTCTATGCCATCCTCGGCGTCGAGGCGAACGCGACGGAGCAGGAAATTAAAAAGGCCTATCATAAACTCGCGCTGAAATATCATCCGGATCGCGTGGGGAAGGACTCCCCCGAGGCCCATCACGCCGCGCGCGAGCGGATGGCCCGCATCAACGACGCCTACGATACCCTCGGCGATCATCGAAAGCGAATGGAGTATAATAATACGCGGACTATGATGCCGATGTTTGAATATATGGATAAATTAGAAACAATGTCGGGTCTGCAACTTATTGGGATCGGAATCGGAATTATCTCGTTGATGGGGACGATGCTGTATATGCAATTACGATCGGCATTTTACTCCATTACCTCCCCGGGTTGTGTGCCTCTATATTTTCACCAAAATCTACAAGGATTTTAACTAAATAGGGGATGCATTAATTGACAATTAAAAGGAAAAAAAGGATGGAAAGTGGAAACCTAATATAGTATTCACATCAATTTATATTGAACTTTACATCCCTAGCGTTTCGCGGTTGAGAGTAGTACTTTACCTTTCCCTGACGTTAGAATCCATACTTTCTCAGGGGTTTTGATTCACATGTTTTTCTTATTTAGTAGTTGCGTGCATGTCTATCTTTTACCTTTGACTTTAGTTTTTTTTTATAATTTAGTGATATTAACATCGGGTCATATTGTATTGGAAAGTTCTTGCGAATTTCGATAAATATATATATATATATATATTAGCAACGAAATAAGCGAGTGAACTTAGATATCTAAAATGCGATCAAACCTCCTCCCACTCCTCTTAAATGGAAAGAAAATATGAATCATTACTCTAATGAATCCCATAACCTATCCCTTCCCATTTCAAAATCCCTCTAAGGTGTCTGTGTGTGTGTGTGTGTGAAATAGATAGTGATTTATAGATAATCCTGTACATTTAACAATTGTAGAGAATTCTGAAAAGGAAGAAGGAAATTTATAACCCTCTCTCTCCCCCCCCTCACCCCCCCCCCTCCTAAATATCCCCCAATGCAGTCCTTCACCTCACAATTCCTCACATCTCCCGTTTCTATTGATCAAATACGCGAATTCACCCCACAGTTGGTCTCGCAGCAGCCGACCTTTCGCCTTTCCGACGGCACGATTTACTACGGCGAGGTCGATCGCTTGACGGGGCTCCCGCAAGGCCAGGGAATCGCGCTTTTCAAATTTATCACCGCCGACACCGGCGGGAATGCCAATCGAATAAATACCATGCACCCGAATAGCCCGTCCGCCGTGTCGTCCTCCGCGCCGATGGAATTGCCGTGGAATACGAAAAAAAACCTCCTCAAGGCCTTTCGCGTTTACCGCACGGACGATCGCTATGGCGGACAGTGGGAAAATGGGCAATTTCACGGCGAAGGCGTCCTCCTGACCTCTACTTTTTCCTATCAAGGAAACTGGAAAGACGGCCATATGCACGGTACCGCCATTATTCAATATGAACGAAATTATGTTGATTATTACCCCAAAGGGGAAAATGATACTGGGATGGATATGGGCGTGAGTACGCTATTTCTGCGTGGGCTTTCCTATCTCTCCCCCTTTGAGGATACCACCACGAAACCAAAAGAATACATTGGGGAAATGGAGCAATTTCGACTTCGGCATGGGTTTGGGATGATGCGATACTACAACGGGGATGTCTATCAAGGGAATTGGGTGAACAATCGCCGGCATGGCAATGGAAAGTTTCTGAAATCAGATGGGGAAATTTATGAAGGGATGTGGGAGCGAGATGAACGGCATGGCGCCGGGACAATTCAGTATATCGACGGGAATTGTTTTAAGGGAATGCTGGAACATAACCTGCGAAGTGGGGAAGGGATGATGATCTTCACCAACGGGGATCAATATTACGGGAATTTCGCCAAAAATCATATCGACGGGCATGGTACGATGCGATTTAAAAACGGGGATGTCTATGTCGGGCATTGGAGGGATGGGATTCGACATGGCGATGGAAAGTATACGCTCAAGCGGAAAGGGGTGATTGTGCGCGGAAATTTCAACAAAGGCTTAATTGAAGGGAACGGAACGGTCGAACACCCCGACGTTTCTCTCTTTGTCGGCGTGTTCGAACGCGGGGAGCGAATTAAAGGAACGCTGTTTTGGATTTCCCCTTCTGTGGGTGATGTAGTAGGAGAGGAAAAAGGCGCGAAAAATGAAGATTCCACGCCGATTAGTCTATTTGATGGAGTGATGGGAGGAGCCCCCTCCGCCCCCCACTCGCTACCCCCCGCATCGCCACAAACGCAAATAATTTTTTCAGTCGGAAAAAAATGTTATCAAGGCGAGTGGGTAGGTGAAAATATGCATGGCAAGGGGCTTCTTTGGTACTTCAATGGCGACTTTTATTACGGCTTTTTTAAGAATAATAAGCGCCATGGGCCAGGGAATATGCGCCATATCGAAAGCGGCTCGGAGTATAGCGGGAACTTTGTTGAGGATAAACAGCACGGATTCGGCGTTGAGCAAGCGGCGGACGGGCTAATTAAGGCCGGATGGTGGGAAAATGATGAATTCGTCGAAGGCTATCATGGTGAGTGGAATGGAAGCGAGCTCCATGGCGTCGGTCGCATGAGGCTCGCCGTTGAAACGTTTTTATATCACGATTGTAAAAAGGTTTATCAAAAAAGAGGGGCTTCCGCAAGCCTCCAGACGTCCGCCATCATGCTGATGGATTTTTTCGGCATCTTCCAGAACGGTCTACGTCACGGAGAAGGCATCCTCAAACTTCCTTTCATTTCATTCCGTTTAGACCACAACACCACCTCCGCGGAGGAGGAACGACGGTATGATTTATACGGACCCTACAGCAGTGAGGATGATCTCACCGCCGACGCGCGCTTGAATATGAAGAGAAAACACCCCAAATCTAAAGATTCCGCTCGTTTGAGCAATGGATTTCTCCCTCGTTATCACGTTATCAAAGCATGTTGGGTGAACGACGTTCTCGAGTCCAACCACAGCGTGTGGGCCTTTCCGAGCGGGGAGGTCTACTGTGGACCTCTTTCCAAAGGCGTTCGCGCAGGTTCAGAAGGTCGTCTTTGGATACCAAACGGCTCCGTTTACGTAGGGCCATGGCGTGAGAATTTACCCTACGGGGAGGGATTATTCTACGCAAAAAACACACTGAACCCGATCTATACCCTCCAGGATTTGAATTCCAAGAAAACTAGCAACTCTAGCACAAGGAATAATAACCCAAATCTGTCGTGCACGTTATCTGCAAATAGTCTAAACGGGGCTGATAGCAGCGTCAGGGACCTTGTATTTGGCCTTTGGGGGGCTTTACCCTCTGCTGAGAATGCATTCAAGAATAATAATGAAGAAATTAATGATATTCAACGAACCGAGCAGCAGCCCTTACAACATGTTTTAGTGGACTACCGAGATGATTATGTTCTTATTGGAAGGTGGAATAAACACATGCTCCCTATAGCAACTTATAAAGAGCACGTCGTCCCTCAGCTGAACGAGTCTGCTGGGATTAAAAGAATAGCCTCGTTGGTGGATTCTACTCAATCTCAGGTCATCGTAAGGGAATACGAGAGCCTAGTGAAGGGGAAATCCGCTGTAGATCCCTCTCAAATCGCGTCTATCAAAATCCCGAGCTCGATCCCAGTGGGAGTACATACGGGCTTGAGCAATGTTTTGTATACCTCAGGGGTCTGGGTTCAGACCTTTTTTATTGGGAATTATCCCATGCTGGTAACCCCTTATATTCCGGGATCGGCGTTTGATCACCATCTTCAGCGATTGCACCGCGATGAGATCCTTCCAAAGGACTTCTCGGTACCCTCACATACCTCATTCTTCACCGAATCTTTACGGGCTGTTATGGAAGAATCTAAAAAGAAAATTAATCTTTTTTCACCTGATATGAAAACCCGTAATGTGTATAATAATAATAATGCCAGCTCCAACGAGCCGGTTGAGGACGATTCCAGCAAAAAATCCTTATTTGAGATGGAAGCGAACATTGCCGGGATGGGGATTAACATGCTTACTGCGTCAAATCAGTATATGCAGTTTGGGGACCAAAAAGAAACTACGAACGACTTCCCCTCGACGCCGGTGAATTGTTGTACGTTTTGCAAAAAGGCCTACAACTTTTTCCGTTCGCCAAAGCCATGTAAACTTTGTCTTCGCTCCAGCTGCACATCGTGCCTTCTTCCGATGGAATTGACCTCATCTCGAAAGCCCGACATCGACGCCCTGATCGCGCGTTCCCTCATCCTTCATCAGCGGGCCCTCCAGCATTCCAAAAATCAAACCCTAAACCCAGAGGTCAATTTTGACGTCTATAGAAATTTATCCGCGCAAGGCATCACCTCGGTTTCGGTGTGTGTGGATTGCTCCCTCTCGGTCATGCTGGGTATTCAAACGAACACCCTGTGGATCCCAATGCCCATCATCCACTCCGTTCTCTTTCCCACGTCTGGGATCCCCCACTCTCATCCCAACCCGGTGGCAGGAAAGGAAGCGGTGGGAATGCCCCCCCCCCACGAGGCCGTTCCCACGGCGGGCCCTTCCAACCGCCCCTCTCTTCTCACCGCACTGCCACCCTTCACGGAGGACCCGCCGTGTGACAACCCCACACTGGGGCCTTCCCTTTACGACACGGTAGAACCGGCGCCGCAGTGGGGGGGCCTCCTCGGGCCCTGGCCGTGTCACACCTGAGCCAGAGGGGGGGGGGGGGGCCTCCTCCGCCTCTTTGCCTGTCACAGGCCCTCCCCCGGTGGGCTACATCGTCTACGCGGGCTACACCTCGCGATCGGTCCCGCACGTGTGGGGAGAGCTGTGGTGGGGCGGGGACTACTACGACGGTGGGTTCCACCACGGTGAACGGCAGGGCTACGGGCGCCAGGTGATGGCCTCGGGAGAACGCTACGAGGGCGGGTTCTACCGCAACGCCTGGAGTGGGCGGGGGAACTACTTCGTGAAGGATGGCGCCGTCCTGCAGGGGGTCTTCCGCCGAGGAAGGCTGCGCAGGCTGTGCTATCATGGGGAGGTGGATAGCCGTCGACGGCCCCACGGTCGCGGTGTGAAGTATTCAACCAACGGCTCAATCTACAACGGGGAGTGGCATCACGGCGAGCAGCGTGGGACCGGGGTTTTGCAGGACCTCAACGGTCGCATCTACAGCGGCGAATTTTGTAATGGCCACATGAACGGTCAAGGGAAACTTATCGAGGGCGGGAACGTCTACTACGGCGAATTCGTAGACTCCCTCAAACACGGCAAAGGGATCGAGTTTTTCGGCCTTTACGCGATGGAGGGCCAATGGGTGCGTGGACTCAGTAATGGATACTGTAAGTTATGGGATTGTATCACTCACGAGCTCTACGAAACGACCTACCGCAACGGAAAAGAGCAAGACGACTGCTTTCCATGCCCTATCAAAGTCGAGGACTGGTTGTCATTGAACTGCTCAAACTGCAAAGTGGGCTTCTCTCTATTCCTTCGGCGCCATCACTGCCGTCTTTGTGGGGATGTCTTCTGCGATGCCTGCACGCAGGCCCGCGCGACACTGCCAGATCATTTCGCTAAAAGATCCAAAGACGGCGAGGTGAATAGAACCTACCTGGATGCCCAACGCGTATGCAATGCGTGCACTTTGCGGCTTCGACAACGTCGGATACTAGCGATTAAGCGGTACGCCGACCGGTCTGTCTACGCGGGACTCTGGAGTCAGGGCCAGTGGGTCTCCTGTGGTCTGTATTGCCACCCAGATGGGCTTTTTATCGTAATGGATAAACACGGCAATCCGATTCTTTCGAAACAGAAGCCTAGTAAGATTGAGCATGTAGATGGCGAAAAAGATGACAATGAAACTTCCTGTGAGGCGTCTGATTTAAAGGGTAGCCTGGCCTCCCAAAATCCCACATTAACGAAAACAGGGGAAATTTTGAAAGATGCGAGCCCCTCAAAGGAGGTCCTGAACGTGCTAACGGAAAGCTCCCCCTATGAGGAACTCGAACTATTCTCAAAGTGGTGGTCACATATATCGACGGTATGTAAGCTGCTTGTACCTCTTGATGTACCACCTATTCAGCTATGCGTGGGTCTTCTCCAGGAGCCATCACGCATGGATGCAAATGAAAACCAAGCGGAGGGTGGCGACACTTCAGGCGCTACCCGCACTGAGGTCGAGAACCGCCTCAAATGCTTTCCCATACCCCCTGTGATGCCCTCACCCAAGCTTTTTGTCTGTCTGCAGGATGTCTATCAGGAGTGCAAGACCTCCACCAGGAAGGAACCCCTTGAAGGGGAGAAAGAAAAGGCAGATGAACTGACCGCCATAAGAAACCCGGCATTAACCCATCATGAGCCTTATGAATACGAAGATGAAAATGTCTATTGTGCGGTGCTTCGGGCCGCGAGGTTCACGCCGGAGGTCATCCCCCCCCAGCCGCCATTGCCCTTCCCCCGTGGCGTCCCGCAGCGGACGCCTTGGAAGAACAGCATTCAAGCCGAAGATGCGGACGCGGGGAAAATGGCGAATCTCAGGTCCTACGACCCCTTCTTCCCTCAGCCACCTCGACTGGAGGACGACGACCGCAGCGACAGGGCGGTGCTCGAGCAAATTGCCGAGGCGCGCCTCAAAAAAGCGGCCGCCTTCAGCCCCGCTGGGAGTCCACTGATCGCCAGCACCCCAAACCCGCCCCCGAACGGGACCAATGCGGCGATTCCATGGACGGACTGGGTCACGCGTGAGGTCCCGACCTACAGAGGGAACGCCGCGAAGGCGGAAGGCCCACCCGCCCCGGGCCCCTCCGAGGCCCAGAGCTACGTCGCCTGCCCTTTCTGGCGGCCGACCCCGACCGACGCGCAGGCGGCGCTGGTGGCCGGGAAGATGAGCCGCGCGATTGAGCTGATGCTCGACAAGGACGCCCGCCTGGAGGACGGCGGAGACAAAAACGGGAGCTCTTTCCCCGCGTCCGCCCCCCTGGCCCAGGACCCCAAGCCACCCGACGACCCCTCTTCCGGGCTTTCCTCGGAAGACGACTCCGTGGGGACCCCGGACAGGGGCTGGCACAGCCTCAAGTCCCCACGGAAAGGGGCCCCTGCGGAGAGCGGGGTCGGATGGCTGCCCGCGCCACTCGCCGGGCCGTTCACGTTCCACATCCGGACGCTCCCTGTTCCCACGGCTGGGGAGCGAACTGCGAAAAATATGAGGCGGGTGAAGGTCTCCATGACCCCCTATAGTCTACGGAATGAGACCTAGGTATTGGGGGGGAAGGTCGATGGCGAAAACGATGGAAAATGGGGAAAAGATCCTTGACACGGTAAGTTTAGATATCTTGAAGAGTCACTTTCTCCTTTAGATAGAGTTGCAGGAGTCATTATTTATTAAATCCATAATTTCTATATAATGGCGTATTAGATTTAAAAAGGTGCAATGGAGAAGGCCAAAGTAATGCCACAGTGCTCTGCCTACACCAATAATTTATTTATCTATGATTAGGCAAATGGGCAAATAAAGTCAATTCTTAGTTCAAATAAATGACCTGGTTCACTAATTTATCCTTCTCATATCATCGTTCTGAATATCCGATAATATATGTTTGATGTCTATCACTTTCCTTTCACTTCTTTTTCCAATTTTAAAAATGACTTTGCGTTAAATATTTGCTCGAGATATTATCTCATTCAGACTCTTTTTTTTGAAACAATGGATTAAAAGTGTTTAATAGATGAATGATACCCCTAGTAAGAGACTATATGTCTATTTATACAAATATAATTGATTAATTATATAGTCTTGTGTTGCAAATGTGTTTATTACTTTTATTTTCTAATTAACGTTTTGCTTAAAAGATTCATCAAAAAGGGGTATTAAATTTAAAAACGAAAAGGTTTTTATACAAACTGCATTAGATACGTGTTTTTTTAGTGAGACACTTTCTTTTTCTTCCCTATTTCCTTCATTTCTACTGTATTTGTTATCCCTAAGGTGAGTAAATTTAAAATAAGGATAAGATAAGGTTTTCCATAACAGAGACATATTTTGGGGGGGATTTATATATTCATATCAGACTTTTCCTTATGGAAAATATTTTTCTTAATAAAAATCATTAATTTAACAGAAGACATAAAATATAGATATTTAAGTATTTATATTATAATATCGCAACATTAAGAAATATAAATCCTATTCTATCCAAGCTTCCAACGGATGCAGAGGACACGAAACCCGATGGTGCAGCAGCAGCTCCTTCTTTAGGCAGTTTATCATTGAAATGGGGTCACCCCGCCGCTATCTAACATTCCTACTAAATCCCTGGTACGCAATCCTCGGATGTGTTGGGAACCTTGGCTAACTCCACATGGTGCTAAAAACGAAATTGAAGTAGCCCCTTACACGCCTTAAAAGCTTTCTTATGGAGACGGAGGTTCAACAGGTGGCTCAGCACCATCCTGGTGAGGGCGTGTGGACGGTCCCTCACGGCGTCGTGGACGACTGCGCTGAGGATGTGAAATTCCACGTCGGGGTAAATTACGAAAAAATTATCAGGTTCTTCAAAATCAAAATGGTGACCGAATATGTGTAGAGTAATCAATAGTCTTTAAAAGATAACAACTGAACTCAATTCACTGATGGTGATATAAAATCTATATATATTACTAAAATACCGTTTTTTTGGATGATATTTACTAGCGAGGTATTAATATTCCTTGTAGGTGCACTATCGAACCATTCATGTTTTACGCTTTCTTATTAGTCTAACAAAAAATGTCGAAATGCACAACGAGCATAAATAAAATGAACTCGCTTTATTCGCCACTAAATATATTACTCCCTCATCACGCCTTAACACTTTCAAAGATCAAGTTACTAAATAAACGCTCTTTTTCTTTAGCTTTTATTTATATTTCAAGCAAGCTTTTCTGGATCATTGTGTGAACCCGTCATACGTCAACATTTTACACGTTCTTATTTCTCTGTCACAGACCTCATAATGGGAAACAGCTGCTATTCGCGTGAATACGTCTTGGACGACCCATATGCCCGCCAAAAAGTCGACCTAGGGGATGAGGATCGCATATCGGGTGAAAAACAATACTGGAAATATCGCCTAATTAGGATGATTGGATTGGATCCGACGCAAGTGTTCTGCGAATTCGCCTACAAAATTCCTTCAATTCGGGTGTTTGACATGACGACTAAGCTAGATGAGAGTTCTCTACAGTATGTCCTCAATTGTGTAATGGAGTTCGCCAGGCTCTGCGACGAGACGGACACATACGGCAGACGCTTCTTCGATGAATGGGAACGGTTCTGGAGACCAGCGAATTCTAATGCCGAGAACTATGTACTACCACGTACTATTATCTCCTTCTCAAAAGTGTTCCGAATGTTGTGTCTAAAGAGTGGCATGGTCAAGATTAAATCGATAACGGGGGTCCCTAACTTCAATGAGATCGACGAGGCGCTTATGATCCCACCAAACTTTCATGTTTATTCCGCAACATTCCATCTCATGCAGCTCAGTTCTCAGAATGCCATCTTGTTCGCTAGTAACTTTATTTCGGATATCACAAACCTTAAAGAGCTAACGATCCACAAATACGATGACTATAATGTGGAAGTCTCACTGACTAACATCGAAGACGAACAACAAACGAAACGCGTTATCAAAATCCGTCATGAGACGTCAAGTATATTTTTATTATGTAACGGAACCGTAAAGAATCCCCCAAAATTCCAGGTGACGTGGGAACTCAACATGTACATCGATAAGGAAATCTTGAAAGAAAGCTTTGCCCCTTTTCAGCCTCCGAAAGATGATAAAAAGCCCAAAGAAAAGCTTAAATCACCCCTAAAAGGCCTCTCTGTAATCCAACCGTTACCTACCATCATAGAGGAAGACGAAGAAATGGTGGAAAAGGATGAAAACTCTCCAATCATGGAGGACCTCAACGTGACCCCCGCAGAAGAACAACAGGCGCAAAAAATGGAAGAAATAAATGAAATAAACACAGTCGAAAGCAAACCCGCAGCGTTAATCCCGCCCCAGAAACCTCCGAGGCCAAGTCTGAAAAAAAATGGGATCGCAACGGTACAACAAGAATATTTAATACGCAGGGAACTCGTCCATTGTGATGCTAAAATCATCAAGGCTGTCCTGTCAAAGCCGTCACGTTCAATCTTTTCAAGGACTTCAACGTATAAAAAGACGAAAGAGGAACTCAGATCCATCCTCAGGAATCGATACCAAATTGAGTTGGTCAGGGTGGATGAGATAGAGTCGGAAGATGCTATTTAAATTTAATAACAACGTGTATGTTTATGTATATCTAAATGTTTATTTTTATCTATATCTGGAAAAATGCTAAAAAGGATTTTCCTTATGTGTTTGAGCCTCACTCATGCCAAAGAAACGAACTTTGTTTTTGTGAAGCACGGAATAATGTTTTTATTTGATTCATGCCTCTGGATAGCACATAAATGTGTATACTTCTTTTAATTTGTATTTTTTAGCAATGTGGACGAATAAATCAAATCCAATGTAAAAATGAGCGTTTTAAAAAAACGTGATGTAAAATGAAAAAAAATACACCTAATCGTTTATTTTTCATCAGACATGTGCTTTCCCTCACTAAGACCATGACAGAGGAGGAAACTCGAATTGAAAAGAAAATTAAAAATAAATTAGCATTTATCAATGCTAATAGAAATGCTGTCTTAACCATCATGCATTTAATATTATGGAAATACTAAGTAATACCAATATTTTTTCACCATGTTTTCTTTTAAAGAAACTCAAATTTCATTCTGCATTTAATCTGCTGATTACCTCTTTTTGGATCTGACTTGTGGATTTTATGTTGAGTATGTGTATATAAATATATATATATATATATTTTATTTATTATGAGTCATTAATGTATAGCTTTTTCTTCAAGTGTTTGAAATATATTTTTTCAGTTAATAATATTAATTGCTATTTCTAGAAAAAAATGCATGTTTTTTTTCTTGTAAAACTATAAATGCACTTTAATTCCGAAAATTACTTTACACTATTTTCAAAGTTGATGTATGTACAGTAAATTTGTTTCCAATACGAAAGTTGATTAAAATGTCCACATTAATCCCCAAAACCAGCAAGCTCACCCATTCAAACTTGACTTCCAAGCGAAAGGCGAGTCTAGGGGAAATCCAACTTCCACGACGACAAAGTTTTACCGAGAATTCCCTCGCCTCAAGTTCGATTTCGGATCTTGAAAGTTCAACTGAGCAATCCTCCCGTCCTCCACCTATCGGGCTGATTTTGATGAGCATGGTCAGCGATACCTACCAAACCCTCACTGCCCAATTCATGGGCCTATCCGTCATGCGCACACCCCTACTGCAAAATCAAAGTGGATCGATCGTCAGCGAAAACGATGAGGACAATGAGGACTACTTTAGGAAGAATATATATGATATTCGCCGGACGCTCAAACGTTTGTATAAGGAGTTATTTTTACTCGAAAATCTCTCTTCCGACGCCTCCCTGACGACCGACCCGTCGTACCTTCGCTCAAACCTTTTAAGGGAATGGACGCGTAATCGGAGCCTTGAATCAGTGCCATTACTAAGAGCCGAAAGTAAAAATTTTATATTATCCTCCTCTTTACCTGATATAAAGAACCATTCGTCGCCCTTAAAACATTATTCCCCATCAGATTTGAGTTCCCTAGAGAGCAATACCATTTCCTCCAGAAGTCTCCCCAATGTGATCACGCCAACCAACCTCTCGATCGAAAATGAGTCCGATTTCATCCATGATTCCAAACTTATATTCCAAGACCCACCTTTTCACCTCCAAAACCTCAAATTAAACATGAACCGAGCGCAGCCCGAGAAGATAGGGATGGATAAACACAGCGATCTCAACCCGATTGAAAATTCTCTGGGGGAATCCACCACCAACGTCGACATGCGAAGTGAGGTGTATAGCACCAACAACACTTTTTCCCCGAGTGCCACCGGTTCAATCCCACCCTTCCCGATCATCTCCAATCTAAAAGCTGGAAACTACACCCTCATACTGGATAACATCAACGGCTTTGACTTGGACGTTCCCCTGAATGAATTGAAAGTCACCATCTTCGACTATCGCATGGTGTATGAAAAAAAAGAGTACGTTCTTCGGCCTTTTAGTGGTCGAACCTTACCAAGGAAACAAACGGTGTTGAGCGCGGAAAGACGAAAGGCTTCGTATGCGTTTCACACCCCAACGTTCCATTTCACCCTAGAAAACGATCACCAATTGGCGGTTTTTGCGTTGATGGTGCGCCATTTCCAACGTTTGGTTTGTTGGGCGGTCCTTTGCGCGGTGGATTTGTCTGTGTGGGAGGAACCTTTACGAGGTGCGCCCTACAACATCAAAAGAGCCCTAAAATATGACGGGCAACTCCTCGAAAACGCTACAATTAGTGGCGAAATTCAACCTGTCAGCCCCAACCACAGCGACACTTGCGGGACAAATCACAAAACAAACGCCGATCAAAGCCCCAGCGATGATTCCGACGATGACAACAGCCGACTCTCCTCCCTCAGCGACTCCAGCGCCTCCGGGGATGACGAAAACGACCCGGGGCGGCGAAATTCCAAACTAAACGCCAACGCCAGCCCTAAACAACATCAAATGGCTTCCAAACCCTCCGCATTACGCTGTTCTTTATTATCCACCTCGGAGGATCGAATCGAGCCCGATTCCCCCACCGACCACGACGCGCATAACGAGGAAACTGCAGATATCGACGAGGGCGACGAGGCCGCCGACATCACCTCGGCCAACCGAAAATATTCCGATCTCAAAGAACTTTCGCCGCGAATATCCGGGCCGCAGCCCCCCCCGACCCGCCCGACGAGCGCCTTTCGGCATGTTTCCTCCTTCGACCCCCGCGAGACCTCAGCAAGCGAATCCACCGCCTCCCTTTCGACGTCCTCACAGGAATTTCCCGCGGATGGCCGGGGGAAACTTTCCGATCGGCCCTACCGCTTTTCCCACAAGGAATATCAGCCGCGCGTGGACCGCGAGGGCCGGCTGGTAGTCCCGAAGGACTACAAACGCCATGACGCCCCGGCCGCCAAGTTCGACCTCGACCCTTTTGACAAGTCCGTTTCGGAGGAGTTCGATCTTTGGGAGTATTTGGGAGGGGACTCCCTCGCCGAATCGCCCGAGCCGCGGCCCCGGCGAGCGGCCTCGAAGGGGGAAATCACCCTCGAGCTGGATCGGGTGTTCGGTGTGCCGTTGAACGCGATTTATACGCGGGTGGTGGTGTATTTGATGGACGCCGTGGAGGATCGAAGTGGAGAGATCCTTCATTCGTTGCGTGCGCCGGGTTGTTTTCTGCGGGAGCCGGATTTAATCGCCTATCAAACCCCCGCCTCCAGCCCTGCTGATCCCGAATTTAGCGCGAGGATCGATTTCAATCCCGGCCCGCACACCGCCGCGGTGGTGGTGGTGGAGTACCTCACGGGGGATGAGAGGTGGCCCATCGTCTTGGGCCATTCCCACCTCCCGCTCGACCCGCCGGGGTCAGGGGGGAAATTTTTATCCCGCCTTCGCCTGGGCGACCCCCGCCGCTCCGAGGCGCGGGGCTTTCCCCCCCCTCAATCGGCCCCGGCGAAAGTAATCGACGCCCCAATCGACCTCGAGGGGAGTATGGACGCGCAGGCCCTGCACAATCGCCTCGCCGAGGCCCCGCGGACGCGCGCGGCGTGCGTCCCGATGGGGTTCCTCGCCTGGCGTTTCCACGCCGAACACAACGAGGGGTCCTATGATCTTTTCCCCGGGGAATTGGCCCCCTCTCAACAGGAACTTCACCTTTGGGCCTCCCGACAAACCACCCAAATCCCCAGCCCGAGGGATCTCGGACTCACGGAGGCCGCCGTCGAGGGGGTGTTTTCCGCCCCGGCGCGCCTGATGAACGATCAGATTAGTTTTTTGAGTTTGTTCGACCCCAATCGCGGGCTGTTTTTGAGTATCGGGTGTTTGCGGGGGTTGGGGATGGGGGACATCGCCGTCTACGTCATCGCCGTGCATTTGCTGGAAAAGCGCACGCCCCACTCTTCCAGCGACGCGAGCGAGCGGGACGAGCAGAAATGGCGGTATTTGTTTTGTACGCGGCCCGCCGACTCCACGTCGGATGTGGGGATTCTCGATTTTGCCGATCCACCTTTGGTGTTGTCTGATCTCGACTATCATCCGCACAGTATGGTGTTTTTCACGGTGATTAAGGTCTCCTTTTCCGCGATAACAGACTCGTGGGGAAATTCAAAGAATGGAAGTACACACGCCAGGCCGCTCTCGGCGAGCGAGCATACGTTAAAAATTGAGGAAATCGGATGGACAGCAAACAGGCTCTTTTTAGATAAACCCGGAATTCTTCGACAAGGTCGATTTGCACTACCACTATTAAAAATGTCTATTTTAAAAAATGTCCTGCGAGGGTTGAAAAAAGAAAGCTTCAACAACATTTTTATAAAGAATATCAACGAACAAAAATCCTCTTTTATTTCACCTAAAACGACGCTAACGGTTGCGCAAGGTGATCCGGCGTGTATGATTCAAATTCTGAGCGACCTGCCAGGACAGCCGCAGATTCATAAACTTTTGATGCCGTTAACCATGCGAAATAGTTTTCCAACCAACGCGAATGAGGGTGCGATTGGGTATACTTTAAAAAGTGCTTATGAATCTAACCTACGAATGGACGAAAAAATGCTTACAAATAAAGTCTGTTTCGAGGTTGATAAATATTTAAAACAGAATTCCGGAAAAATACCGGGTTAAAATCACCCTGTATAGGGTTGAACCTCATAATATATATATATATATATGTGTGTGTGTGTGTGTGAAAAGACTACTATTACCTTATAAAACGACAGTGGAAATGAAATCTATAATAGTAAATAATTTCCCTTTTTTTTCTTTTGGTGAGGGGAGAGAGAAGGGATATATAATCTTACTTGATTTTCTACCTTAAATGGTTTCGTTCTTGATGCATTACCACTACTATTAGCATGTAAGCTTTTTTCATCCTGACGTTGGATTTTTTTTCCAAAAATCCTAACGTATAGGAAACAAAATGAAATCAAACCATGGAAGAAATATAAGGTTTGATATTTAACTGCAGGTTTTATATTTGTAAGTAGAAATACATATAATTCTTCACTAAAATAACCCTCCCAGGTTCTACATAGTTTTTCGCTTACTGTGCATACTTTCTTTACAACTTTAATAAATTTTTTTTTTACTTATTTGTTAGAATTTGTGGTTGTATTCTAAATACCCTAGTCAGGAACTGATGTGTTTCCGTTGGGGTGTGAAGTATTTTAGTTGGAAATGGGTGAATCACGATGGCCATTCTTACGAATACTTTCCAAATATAAGGCAAAGATATCAAACATTGTGTGTTTTTTGTTTGTTTTGGAATTATTTCCTGAGCATTGAACACTAAACTTTTATAACTGTAGATCATTATCATCAGTATATTTTTCTCTGCTGACTTCATTAGATCCATGTGAATTGATTATACTTTGTTGTACTGAATTTTATAAAAAAAAACGATTTGAGTCCAATGCTATATTTAGCCACCAAATCTTGTATAATAAGATATCTTCAATAGCTACACAACGAATCTCATATTTTCCATCATTACATGATCTTATAAAAATATATATCGATGTAATTAATTTTACTACAGGATAAAAATAGAAATTAGGAAATTCCTAAACTCAAATATATACCTTTTAAGCTGTTTTCACCATTTAGGTTAGTAATTTTAATATCTTGGTATATAATTTTTTTTTGGTTATAACTTGCTGATTATTATGTTCTCATTTATATTCATATATATATATATATCACTTTAGTTCAATTATTGACTTATTGTTCGAAAAAGTGAAATGTGCACTGAATAGTTATGGAAAATAACACATTTTGGGGGTGTTTATATCCGTCCATCAAAAAAAATTCATATCTTATATATGAATAATGAAACAACTAACGTATCTGTTAACAGATATAGATATTTATATATTATGTTTATTATTATTATTATTATTATATCTATTTTCCATCTTGTCGATCAAAAATAGTGATTAACTATTGAATGTATTGCTTACACATTATTATTTTNTTTATT